AGAAAAAAAAAAAAAAAAAAGCAGATTGAAAGTCTCAACTTAGGAAAGACATTTAAACACATGATGGGAAAACCCAGAAAACTTTTACAAGAGATTTGGATAGAGCAGTTCTTTTTCGAGTGGCTTGTAAGACCAGGCCATAAATGAAGCATCTGCAGCAGGTTTTTCCAAAACAAAGAGCAATCCCAGTGGGAGAAAGTGGCTCCGTTTCATTATCTCTTCTATAACTGGCAAACAAATCCATATATTTCGCATTAATGCGAGACATATATGAAAAGTTACTCCAACTAGAAAAACATCAAATCAGTTGCAAGCCAAGATAGCTTCAGGAGAAACTAAACCAGAGACCTGATTGGCAGCAGATGGCTGATTAAGGAGAACTAGAGAAATGTTGTGGAAAAAGCTGTCAGATCAAGATCATATGCAGTTATTCGGCTGCTGAAAAGTTATTGGACATTGCTAAGTGTGGTGCTGTGAGGAAGAATTTGTGGCAGAGTTTCGCAGAAGGTGTACACTATTCAATCAAAAAAACAGCTGTATTGAACCTGTGCAGGTACTATGACAAGCAAGGAAGGCCTTAAGCAGAAGTGAAGGACAGAGAACAGTTGATGTTTCGCCTTTTCAATTCCTGGACCGACTTGGAAAACAGCGATGTGGACCTGACCGTCTCTCAGGGGGCAGGAGGTGTCGGGCAGCTTGGAGCAATACGCATTGGCAGATGGCAAAAGTAGTGCGCAGGCTTCGATCACCAGAGACAGGTTGAGTGGGATGAGACCAGCTTGGACTACTGACTAGCAGATGCCCCAGTCAGAGAAGAAGAAGCCAGGCCAGGAGGGAGCCCGAAGAAGTTTACTGGAAGAAGCGCTGGAGCGCTTTTTCACAGGAAGAGAGGAGAAGAGCTGTATGTGTAGTGCCTGGGTATGGTGACCACCACAGGGGTGGCATATCCAGAAATTTTTTTGAGTTTGAGAAGACTTATTATTAAATGCTGCTTTGTAAAGGTGACTATTTAAAAATTTTTTAATCCGTTACTTAAGATTAGAATTTCTATTTCTCTATTTATAAAAAGGAACTTGGCCTCACGCCGAGGCAGGCAGATCATTTGACCTCAGGAGTTTGCTCAGTCTGAGCAAGAGCGAGACCCAGTAGGTACCAAAAATAGAAAAAATTAGCCAAGCATAGTGGCACATGCCCGTAGTCCCAGCTACTTGGGAGGCTGAGGCAGAAGGATCGCTTGTCGAGCCAGAGTGTTGAGTTGCTGTGAAGCTAGGCTGACACCACAGTACTCTAGCCCAGGCAACAGAGTGAGACTCTGTCTCAGAAAAAAAAAAAAAAAGGAAGTTACAATAGAGTGTTGGTGCTAGAAGGAATTTCTAACACAATTGTAGGTAGACTCCCACTAAATAAGAGCTGATCCAGAAGTGATGAGGCTTGTAAATAGTATATTTTGTGGCCAGGCGCGGTGGCTCACGCCTGTAATCCTAGCACTCTGGGAGGCCAAGGCGGGCGAGGTCAGGAGTTCAAAACCAGCCTGAGCAAGAGCGAGACCCCGTCTCTACTATAAATAGAAAGAAATTAATTGGCCAACTAATATATATAGAAAAAATTAGCGGGCATGGTGGCCACATGCCTGTAGTCCGCAGCTACTTGGGAGCTGAGGCAGCAGGAGTCGCTTTGAGCCCAGGAGTTTTGAGGTTGCTGTGGCCTAGGCTGACGGCCACGGCACGTCACTCTCAGCCTGTGACAACAAAGGTGAGGACTCTGTCTCAAAAAAAAAAAAGATTAGTATATATATTATTTGTAAGTTTTGGACATAATAATTTAATTGATTGTTTAATGAAATCTTGGTCTTTGTGTTTTACAAATAATGACTTTATTATGGTAATGTGATAATATTACTAATCATCTCAACGAGTAAAAAAAATGTATTCTGACCAGCCTCGGAACCCCGGGGCGCCCATCAGCGCTGCGCGCAGTAATCCTAGCACTCTGGGAAAAAAAAAAAAAAAAAAAAAAGCAGATTGAAGAGTTCAACTTAGGAAAGAGACATTTAACCAACATGATGGGAGAAGACCCAGAAACTTTTACCCAAGAGGATATTGATAGAGCTATTGCTTACCTTTTTCCGAGTGGCTTGTAAGGCAGGCCCATAATGAAGCATCCTGAGCAGGTTTTTCCAAAACAAAGAGCAATCCAGTGGGGAGAAGATGGCCGTCCGTTTCATTATCTCTTCTATACTGGCAAACAATCATATTATTCATTAATGCATGACATATATGAAAAGTTACTCAAACTAGAAAAACATCAAAATCAGTTGCAAGCCAAAGATCTACTTCCAGAGAAAACTGAAACCAGAGACCTGATTGGCAGCAGATGGCTGATTAAGGAGGAACTAGAAGAAATGTTAGTGGAAAAACTGTCAGATCAAGATCATATGCAGTTTATTCGGCTGCTGGAAAAGTTATTGACATTGCAGTGTGGTGCTGCTGAGGAAGAATTTGTGCAGAGGTTTCGCAGAAGTGTAACTATTCAATCAAAAAAACAGCTGATTGAACCTGTGCAGTATGACGAGCAAGGAATGGCCTTTAGCAGAAGTGAAGGACAGAGAACAGTTGATGTTCCCTTTTCAATTCCGTGACCGACTTGGAAAACACGATGTGACCTGCACCGTCTCAGGGGGCAGGAGGTCGGCGCAGGCTGGAGCAATAAGCTTGGCGATGGCAAAAGCCTAGTGCAGCTTCGTCACCGAGGACAGGTTGAGTGGATGAGACAAGCTGGACTACTGACTACCGATCCCCAAGTCAGAGAACGGAAGAAGCCAGGCCAGGAGGGAGCCCGAAGAAAGTTTACCTGGAAGAAGCGCTGAGGCCTTTTTCACAGGAAGAGAGGAGGAAGAGCTGTATGTACGTGCCTGGCGTATGGCTGACCCACGCGAGGGTGGCACTATCAGAAATTTTTTTTGAGTTGTGAGAAGACTTATTATTAAATGCTGCTTTGTAAAGGTGACTATTTAAAAATTTTTTAAAAATGTGTGCACATGGAGGCAGAGTGTGGAATGACGGACACTGGCATGTGAGGGGGGTGAACAATGGGAGGTTGCTGGGTGGGTACAATGTGCACTGCTCCAGTGGTGGGTGCACTAAAGGCTCTGACTTCACCACATGCAATATATCCATGTAGCAAAATTGTACTTGTACCACATACATAAATTTTTTTAAAATGGAAAAAAAAATCAAAACTTTTTTTTGCTTTATAAGCTCTTGGGCTAAATCTGTATAAATGTGGTTTTTATTTTCTAGATACTCAATGAAACTTGTATCTCACTGCATCATATCTGAGTGCAGACACCAAAGCACAATTTAGAAGCCAAAACAAAAAAGAAAGAATGTTAGCTTTATTCTGCTGCTTTATTTTTTAAACTTTTTCAGAAGATAGTTTTAGGAGCATAATTCATACATAGAACCTTGTCATATTAGACTTTAAAGGACGATTCAGCAAATTACAGTTGAGTTACTGCATTTTGCAGATGAGAAAGCAGCCCCAAGGATTAAGCAACCAACCAGAGCCAGAACGTTGCTCATTTAATGCTCCGGCTAATCTAGAACTCATTCCTCTTGGTTCTGTTGTTTCCCCGTGACACATTTTGCAGCATAAGAGGTGAGAGGTCTTGTTCAGCAGTGCATGTCTGCGTGCAGAGCTACTGGCGCTGGGCGTAGCTGGTGCAGACCACAGCCGGGCTTGTGATGGCTGAGCAAGCCCACACCGGGGAAAGTGCCCCGGCCCCTGTTTGGATTCATTTGTATTTTTTAAATTGTATATATTAATATTTAAGGTGTACAACAGGATGTTTTGATACACAGAGTGTGAAGTGATTATTGCAGTCAAGTGAATTAACATATCCATCACCTCACGTAGTTACTGTGTGCACGCACGAGTGGAAAGAGCACCTAAATATCCTCTCTGCAAATTTCCAGTGTGCAATACGATTAACTGTAGACCACATGCTGCACATTAGATCTCTAGGCTTATTCATCCTACTTAACTGCAACTTCTTTGTGATCAACATCTCCCCATTTCTCCCACCCCAGCCCCTGCCCCAGTAACCACTGTTCTATTTTCTACTTCTATGAGTTTGACTTTTTAAATTCCACAGTGTAGTGAGATCATGCGGTACTTGTCCTTCTGTGCCTGGTTTGTTTCACTTAGCACCACGTCCTCCAGGTTCACCCATGCTGTAGCAAATGGCAGGATCTCCTTTTTCAAGGCTGAATAGTATTCCATTTGTACATGTACCACACTTTCTTTATTTGACCAATTGCACAGATGTGGAAAAAAGTGTCTTCAAGCTGCCCTTTTCCCAGAGGGCTTCAGCAGAAGTGCCTGAGGAAGGACCAGGCCAAGGGGAACAGGTATGGAGACCTCTGATAAGGCACTTGGTTAGGATAGTACATATGCTCTGGAAGAGCGTGGGCAGCAGGGAAGTGGGCCAAGTCCATGACCGCAGTCCCCCAGAGCCTCCAGAGTGCACTGACTGCACAGGTCAGGTATGGAGGGGGCAGTTTGGCCCCTGTGAAGCCCACCAGGCATGGCCTTGGTCACTGACTGTGATCGAACCTGGAAGGTTGCACATAGGTGTTTGGCCAGGAGCTGGACTCCTCAGTCATAGCTAAGTGTTAAATCAAGTTTGCTATAGGATTCCTAAAAATCCCTTAAATGAAGAAACATATGGATTTTAATTTTAATGCAATTTTGCAGTAGGTTTTTGAGGTGGGGAAAAGGCAATTGGTGACAGGGGTACTCTAAAATCCATTTCGATGTAATTTATTTTAATTAAGGAAAAATATTGCTTCAAGAATTAGACCCTAAATGCTTAATTTTCCTTTATGTAGAAAGTTGTATACTACTGATTTTTTCATGAATTCTGTTTTTAAAAAGTTGGATATGTTCTGAGACATGTACGTGCACATTAAATCTTTATATAGTAAACAAAGAAAATTATTCTTATTTTCTATCACTCATCAAAAGTATGTTTCACTTGCATGAACCTTATTTCTACTTAAAAATTTTGAAGGCTGGTCCCAAGGAAGTGAGTTATCTCACTTGATTGTTCACAGTGAGTTATAGGTTGAACTCCTTATTCTACTACTTTTCACCCTTCTCACTACTGCACTTGACTAGTCTAAAAAAAAGATTTTCAATATAATTTCAGATATACAGAAAAGTTGCAAGAATAGTACGAAGAATTTCCAGATAGTCTTCACATTATAACATTATATATATATAATTCTATACTAATATTTATATATATACTTTATCCTGAGATATTTAAGAATAAGATGTAGACATGATGTCCTTCTAACTTTAATTTTTTTCTTTTTTTGAGACAAGGTCTTACTATGTCTCCCAGGATAGAGTGCAGTGGCATTATCATAGCTCATTGTAACGTCAAACTTCTGGGCTCAGGCAATCCTCCTGCCTCAGCCTCCCAAGATAGCTAGGACTACAGGCACCGGCCACCACTCCTGGCTAACTTTTCTATCTTTTTGTAGAGATGGGGTCTCACTCTTGCTCAGGCTGGTCTCAAACTCCTAGCCTCAGGCAATCCTCCAGGTTTGGCCTTCCAAAGTTCTAGGATTAGAGACATAAGCCTCTAACTTTAATTCTTAACTGGAAATAAACCACACCAGTAATTGTAATCTAGTATCCGGTCTTTTCAGCAACACCCACTCAGATAAAAATCATTGTCGATAGCATCATTTTCAAATTGTAGCATCTTCTAACTTGAACAATGGTAGATAAAAATCTTGCTGTAAGAACAATTAATATAGTCTTTTAGCTAAACAGATACTTACTGAAGAGTACATTGGTGCTCTGGTGGATGAAAGATGAAAACAGGTCCACATTTTGCTCATTTGAGAGTTGCCAAGCTCAACAAAGATGCCTTTTCCCCCCTTATTTTTCCCCTATATATGGAAGCATTTTATTTCACAGTAAGAAGAAGAATGAAACTAAAATTGTATTTGCTTATATTAAATGAAGAATCAAAGGATCAATTCACAGATCTAAAATGACCACTTCTGAACTCTCTATGAATTCAGTTTTGTCCTCTATAGTTTCATTACTATGTTACCTTGTTGGCTAGTTCTCTTTTTGTTGAAGTTGTAATGAAATTGGAGGGTGTCAAATAGATATTGAACTAAGTAGAGGTTTCTCTTTCTTCCAATGATTGTCTAGAGCATTGTCTTCCGATGATGTTAATATTCATTAACATCTATTCCATTCAGTGGAGGCTTGTAGTACTAAGAAAACCCTCTTACCTGTTACCTTGAATACAGTCTATCCAGATCTCCACATGAATCTCGATTCCCCTGACATCAATAACTGTAGGTTTTGTGAGATCATATTAAGGGTACAGTGGACAGTTAACACAGGTGCCCTTATATGAAAACTGCCCTAGGAGCTCTGAGTAGCAAATGGGAAGAGCGCCAATTACAACACTTGGCATTTATTAAGCACACTAGATTTCCACTGCTATTCTGTGTGAACATAGCACCCTTGTGAAGGATGTTACTTGTCATCACTATAAGATCAGCATAAATCAGAGAGCAGAACGGCCTGCCGTGAGCCAAGTTCATTTCTGTAAGCAAGAGAGTTTGTGGCAACAATTAGACTCTTATTTTCATTTCTAAACATAAAGCTTTGGAACATACCTATTTATCACATTTGAGAGGACAAATTTGTAAACACACCTAACCCTTAGCTATAACCTCGTCATTCTGTGCTCCCCAAGGTGAAGCTGGCTTCTTAACAGGTGAAATGGAACAGGACTTCCTCTTTGAGTAGTGTCTTGCATTGTAAGGTTCTTCCTGCCATCTTTCTGGAGCCAATGTCGCTTTGGTTAAGGTCAGAAAAAAATGCTTTATAACATGAACACAAGTAAAATGCCCTTCATTTTTGTTGTGTAGATAGTCAAAAAGCTAATGGTAAAAAAAAAATCTTAAATTATTGCTAGCTGTAGGAATGTAGTGTCAGTTATTATTTATTAAGCACTCCTGGCACATGATACTCTTTTTGTATTCAGGAATGCAGAAATAAATGAAAACATTGATGATGCAATTTCATTAGATTGCACTATGATTTATGAGGTTATGATTTTTCTCACAAAGATGTTTCTTTTCAGACTTTGATTGATGCAGGATAGCAACTAGTTAAGGATGAGACCATACCCAATATGAAACAAAAAATTCCCCTATTTAAAAAAAGCCTAATTAAGTAGTTGTCATTGGATCTTCCTCTTATTTTGTTTCACCTCATTCATTGTTTAAAATGACATCTTTATATAAGCAATGAATACAACTGAGTTTTGTTTTGTTTTGTTTTTTTTTTTGAGACAGAGTCTCACTTTGTTGTCCAGGCTAGAGTGAGTGCCGTGGCATCAGCCTAGCTCACAGCAACCTCAAACTCCTGGGCTTGAGCGATCCTCCTTCTTCAGCCTCCCAAGTAGCTGGGACTACAGGCATGCGCCACCATGCCCGGCTCATTTTTTATATATATATATCAGTTGGCCAATTAATTTCTTTCTATTTATAGTAGAGACGGGGTCTCGCTCTTGCTCAGGCTGGTTTTGAACTCCTGACCTTGAGCAATCCGCCCGCCTTGGCCTCCCAGAGAGCTAGGATTACAGGCGTGAGCCACCGCGCCCGGCCACGACTGAGTTTTTGTCTTAACCAGATTCTTTCATGCTCTGTTTTTTAGTTTATATTTATTTTCTCAGGTGTTGCAAAGCTTTTTTTTTTTTTTTTTTTGAGACAGAGTCTCACTCTGTTGCCCCGGCTAGAGTGCTGTGGTGTCAGCCTAGCTCACAGCAACCTCAAACTCCTGGGCTCAAGTGATCCTCCTGCCTTAGCCTCCTGAGTAACTGAGACTACAGGCATGTGCCACTATGCTTGGCTAATTTTTTCTACACATTTTTAGTTGTCCATCTAATTTCTTTCTATTTTTAGT